AGCTTATCATCATCNTAAATGCTATTTTCTTTCATTATTGGTCCGTACTATCTTAGCAATAAATGGGCTTTATTTGCTTCGACTACAATTGCATGGCAAGTGGCGCATGTTTTAGATGGGTAAGAGGATTTTTACCATTTATAAGTTTCTTATCATTTAGCAGAAACAACCTGTTCCCTTTCGTAGCTTTCATTACGATATGGCAATTTCTAGTTTTTCTGAGAAAGGTTGCATTTCAGAAATAACAGCTATCTGACAATTATTTGCATCTGAAGGAAACAAATTTTATAGAGAAATAATGTTTCTAATTTTAAAAGCTGAAATCATTCACTGATTTCAAATTCATATCATATGCTAATTGTTGGGAACTCCAACGTCCTTCAAAGACTCCTCGATTAAATTTTAGATCGGTACATTACATTTAAACTAAACGGGGATTTTATAAAAAAGTAATCTATATTCGCTTTTGCATCGATTTATCTTATAACGCTTGTGTTATATTTGATTATATTTAAATATGTATTTGGTATATTTGATTATATTTAAATATGTATTTGGTATAATTAAATAGAATTATTTTCCACTAAATTTCACTTAAATATTTGGAATATCTAAAATTGCAGTACAGAGATTTCATAAAAAAAGAAATTTATATGTCAGTTTTTGCGTTTCTTACGCTGTTTGCATAATATTAAGTTATATTTAAATACATAATTACTCTAATTAAATAAAGTTACTGCCCACTAAATTTCAATTAAATATTTTAAATGCAAGCTTTTACGGAAATGACACGAAATTTACTTGTAGGTTTGTCGTACTATTCTTCAATTGGCATCACATGAAGTGTTTGCGAATTAATAGTGGTAACAATTTCTTATTGATATTGAAATGTGGGATAGAAATTCGTACAAAATTTTAATATTTTACCTTAGCATTTTCGTTGAATCGGATATTTGAAATTTTATACAAAATGATTCCGATATCACAATTTAATGGGTGATTTCACTAGGAACGAGTCGAAGACAGCTGGGATGGTAAGATGGCATTGGGAAAGTCACTGATTGATCAATTCTTAAGTTCGTTTTTCAAAGAAATCCAAAAGAAAACACTATAATTGATATCAAAAGGAAGAACGGATGCTGCAATGATGAAATTGATTTTAGTGCTTCATCCAGTAAAATTATTTGATAAGTTAATAGAAGGAGTAAAAAAGCGAAAGTCATTTTCTTATTTTCCTAATTTGTTATACAAATATTTTAATATACCTATCATACATCACTGCATTTGCTGCAAATACTGATAATCAAGTTTTTGTACCAGGTTTTTTGTATCAAATATCAGGTTTTTTGTGAAATTCATTTTGTTTTCAAAATTACTGCGTAATTTTACTTATGAAATTTCAAGTCCAATACCATCAATTCACAATCAAGCATCAATCATGAAATAGAAGCACTATGAAAATATTCAGCAGCAAAGTTACTAGTTCATTTACAGTACAACTGTCGTAATAAAATGACATTGTCGTGAAAAATTGTTACCTGGTTTGGAAGGGGTTTTCGGTGAAGCTTGTGTTGTCTGATATGGGTGTAAAGCGGATAATAAAGGTTTATTGGTGAAGGTGACAGTGTATATTAGCTAGTACAGAGAATATAAAACCAGTTATGAATAAGTTCCTCATTATGAATAAATTCCTTACTGATGAGAAGAGGCGGAAAAGTGTTTTGAAGTGGAGATAATTGAAGATGAATTGGAGCTGGAAATGAGGAGACTGTCGATCGTACTTACGGGGCCGCCATAAATACTCAATATAACTATTTTGTTTTGGCAGATAAAAAAAAATGAAAAATATAAAATGGTATGTGAAATAGTATGCCCCATAAAGCTGTTGTAATATAAATCACACACTCATAAACTTTTGAGAAATTTTTAGCCTTACTCGGAAATTATGAAAGTGTCGCATCTAAGTAGCTTTAACTTTAAAAGAGCATATTTCCGGTTTTTAGTTTCCTTAAAGGATTGTTCACTTTTTTTAACTCTGCTTTCTCTTCTATTTTTCTTTTTGAAATTATGTGTGCATCTGGAATGCTCGAAGAATAAGCATTCCGAAATAAAAACCTCACTATGATTGTTCTACTTTACTGGGATTGGGTAAAAAAATTCCAATTGAGTGTTCAAAGGAAAATTCATCTTATTTTGAGGAGCCTGCACGACTTGCTGTACCGAATTTCTCAATACAGTCTTATTAGCAGGAAAACATTTCTTTCTAGCTATCATTTGAACGATATGATCAAAGAATAATCATGCCTCTAGCATGATATTTCTTCGATTATATTGTTAATTAGTTAATTTATCTACTTAATGTTTTCTTTTCCACAAAAGCCATTATCTTCGTAGCAAACAGGTGACATTACTATTTGTCTACATGACATGGTGGCATTACCATTTGGAGATGACATTACCAATAACAGGTGGCATTACCATTTGTATACATGACTGGTTGTTTGTTATGGGTTTTAATAGTCTTGAACAACCTTAGATGGCTTATTGGTCCGAATACTGAAAAAATTTTTAAAATTTTTGAGTGGTTTCTAGCTAAGTTGATCCATCCGTTTTACACAATCATAAATTGATTGAATTTGATAAATTATTAAAGAGCAGAAAAGTACAGGCCTAAATGGAATTATTTATTTTACTGCCAGTTTTACTGTCGCTTTGTGACTCTTTTTTTTTGGTTTTAAATGTCCTCTAGTAAAATAACTGATAAAAGAAGTTAGGTGAACAATATCATTATTATTCTTCCTTCAAGTAAATTTTATTTATTCGTAAATTCGTTTATTGTTGAATTACTGTTTTTTTGATAATTTATGTGCTGTTTTTCTTTTTTTTATTCTAAGATATAGTAACACTAATAATAAACAGGATCATTCATTGAATCACAAACATAAAAAGGAAATTCCGCATTTTTTCATTATTTATTCAATGCAAAGAATTGAATTATCGTTACAGCATGCAAATTTAATCCATTAATATCATAAGGATATGAGTTAAAGCGGATAGGAAGGATAGTAATTAATATATTACATTATTTGTCTATGTTTGATATTATCAAGTATTGCTGTTAATATCATTATCTGTTGGAGTTAAGTGATAACAAATCATAGCAATGTAAATTTGACCAATATCAGCATTTCTTACGTCATTAAAGTAAATTGGATAATTAACATTATATTTTAACTCTTTATCTTTTGCAGAAAAAGGATGCAAACTTTTATTTTTCTTTTTGCTTGTTAAATCTATACAGTTGTCGAAATAAAATCAGAACTACAGCTATGTATTATTTAAAAAAGTAAGTCCAAGTCTAATTTCAAGTGTTTCATTTTTTGCAAATTAAGTTGAAGTTGTCACATCAAACAGGAAAGCAAGAGATTTTTTTTTTTTTTGCTTATTATTTTGGGATATTTTTCCATGTTTTTCAAGAAGCTTCCACTTTCGAAAGTGTCGAATATCATTTCTTTCCTATAGAAATTTTTGTTTTTTACTCTCTGGTGGTTTTCATTTCAAACTGTCTTATTTTCTCATTCCAATATTTTCAGTTTTACTGGGTTCAAGAATTGATGAATGCAGATAAAAAAGTTAGAGTTTCAAGAATTTCCATGAATAAATTCGAAATGCATTTATATTTGCACTATCAATATAATAGTCGGAAGTTCAGAAGCTGTCAAATAAATACTATTTATATAATAAATATTTAGACTTATATATTAATGAAATACTGCTTGGTAAATACTGTTTATATACGTATAAGTAAATACTATTGATATGACTATTTATAGGCTTAGTTTTTGAAATTATTTACATTTTCTAGTTTTGTTACCGATGACGAAACAGTTATAATCTGCCAATAACAAAAATTTCCAC